CAGACCTAGAGCAGGATTTGTTCACTTCCTGCCCAATTTCCACCCTGCCCCCATCGCCCACAGAGCCCAGCCCTGGGGTAAGGGAAAGAAGGAAGGGACTTGCTTGCTACTGGATCTAACTTTCTTGTCCCCACACACAGACACACTCATATATACCCATCTCCACGTTACAAGGACAAGCATTCAGACAGAAGAGAGAGTGTCCCCAGGTCCCAATACCCCAGATCCTTCTAGATTTCCATCTTTCTCCAGAAACTATAGTTCAGCCTTTCTTTCATCCCTGCTGCCCCTTCTCTCACAGGGGTACTTGCACACTAAATTGATTACTTACACAAAATCGATGACTTAAATGTACACCAGCTGATAGGCTGAATGTAAAAATGACTATGATTTTTGTCAAAATTAAGAATATGACTGTTAATCAGCCATATTGATTCAGCTGCATGTATCAAACTAAAATTAGGTTACTGCATGGAAAGTATATATTTAGTAGAGAAAAGGATCCTTTTTCTATCTAGATGCATGGTAATTTTCCTTCTCTGAGAAGTAAAGAACAAAATAATCTTTAAGTGACTTTTTAAAGGTAAAAAATTATGTGAAACATTTCTTTTTGTTATGTGTTAATTTAAAATGTAAGATGAAAAGGTTACCTTCCAATAACCAATGGAAACTATGTACAATTGTAAGTTTTGGTTACTCAAACCACATACAAATTTTAGAGAAATATGCCCAAATGAACTGTAAATTGGCTTATCATAACCCAAAGAGGAAAGCTGTGGGGACATGGAATTCCAGGACATGGAGGCCTGGAGATAGGGATACTCAGAGACAGCTAGGGACAAATTTGCTCCTAATTCCCTGACCACAGGATTTGGTCTTGTCAATCTGAATTTGCTTCAGGAACCAAAGAGCCCACTGTTGCTAAATAGTCCCTTAAGTAAAGCAAATGTTTATGTTCCTCCAGAAGAGCGTTCTAAGCTTGGGGACCAACAGGCAAGGGTGGAGCAAGGAAGCAGTGTCCCGCTCACTCTGGCTGGACCCTACCTGCTGAGGGAGCACCAGCAGTAGCTGGTGTTGGGGAGGGAACCGAGAGGCAAGGGAAAAGCTTGGTTAAGACAGTGCCGCGCCTGAGCTCATCCAGCGTCACCACCTCCTTTAGGTTCATCTGGGAAGTCCCAGACCAGCAGTAGAGTTGGTGTCTCTGGGTCAGTGGTCCTTAAAGGGGGAGGGAGTTTATCAGTGTCACCTCTAGAGCATTCGAAGATGGCTTACCAGACGCTCCCGCTAGCCCATTATGGTTTAATAAGGTCTAGGGGGAGCCCTGGCACGAGCACTTACAAAAGATTTGACAGATTATTTTGCTTCACAAAATTCTCTCTGTGTGAGAACCACTTCTGCACGATTTACACACGCAGTCAGAAGATAAGCCACTCTCAGGTTCAAGAGGAGGAGATTCATCTTCACTTGCTTTAGGAACAAACACTCCTGGGCACAAGGTGGAGAGAATGGTTCAGTGTGAAGTAACTGGGGCAATCAAATGGACAGTTTCCCTTTAAATGCTTTACGTCTTATTACCATTTTATACATTGCACACACGTGTGACATCAATTATGCAACCTTTGCATAATTGATGCATTGGGAACATATTATAAAAAATAATCAGAGTATTATACATGACACTAATGGCTGTATTCATTGTTTTTGTTTATATTGATGGGATCAAAAGTTGAAGAATTTTCTATGACAGGTAGCCAATTACTAGGGAAACTAATGATAATTGTAGCCTCAAAAGCTGCCATCAATCTCTCTCCCCCACCTGGACCTCTCTTTTCTATGAACTCCTACGAAACTCAGTCTCAATCATAGTTTAGCAGTTAATTTTTCCTCTAAATTTCTCTCATATTCTTTATTGTTGTTTACCCAAATAAACTTTCAGTTTCTTCAAGGCAATAATTATGCCTTATTCTTTTTTGTCTTTCCTATGTTTCCTAGAATACAGATGTTCAAGAAATAATAATTGAGTGCTGATAATATGTCTTAAAATAAACTGTGTCTCCTAAGAGGCATGCTTTGTAAGCATAACCTGGAAGGAACACTCAAGGGGAGGCAGGCCTGGCTGAAAGGGCCTTGTGTTCTTTACTTGTGCAGTCTCAAATGAGTTCACAAAACCTCTTAGAACCTAAGTTTTCTTCTATAAAGTGAGGATAATATTTATGTCTAAAGGTAGTCATGCTCTTCACATGGGATTATGTATAAAGTACGTATTATAGCTACTCAATAAAAATTACGTTTCCTCTTCCTTCCATCTCCCCTTGCAGAAAAACAAAGTTTCTAATACAGTGTTGTGGGAATTCAAGCCTATTGGATTTAAGAACTGCTGAAATGGAAAGTAACAGAAGACAGTCAGATCAATGGAACATATAGTTAGCCTAGAAACAGAGCCAGGTGTGCATGCATGTGAATGTACATATGTGTGTGTGTGTGTGTATGTGTGTGTATATGTCCAACTATCACAATGCCTTATAAATATCTGCTTGAGGAGGGGCTGGATTCCTAAAAAATCAAGTCATATGAAATCATTTGATACAATAGCTGGGCTAGTGGTGCTCCCACTTACTTAAGGGGGTACTCACATGGTACTGAATGGGTCAGCATGTAGGTGAATGTTGATCAGATATCCTAAGGTATTGATGTGACCTTCCCCACATATGAAGATGGTCTGGTCTATAACTCTGAGGACATGACTTTCAGCAGTGGTCAAAGTCTGGACCCTACACCTTTCCAGAGGCCTTGATGTTCAATGACCTTTATGGCTGGGGTGGAAACGAGGCCTTGATCTGTCGTTCTAGTGGCACAAGCTCAAAGTGTTACTGACCTTCCCCTGCCAAGCATGAACTTATTTAAATAAATTGGTGGTCTACAGAATTATCGGGCTTGAGTCCGTGAACATGATCTGTAATATATGAATTCCTGAGATCGCAACTGCACAGAATTAGACTGACCTGTTCTATGGTGTGTACACAGTTATCCCTGACTTCCTTTCTCTAAACTTCCAGAGCGAGTAGGAGAGAAGTTTAGGCATTACTTCCTTTCATTCCTCAGAGCAAGCAAGATGTAGTTGGGCAGAAGATATGAGGTAGCTGCTAAGGAGACTTCGGGGGAACAGAAATCAAGGGAACAGGAGCTTCACACTCATCACACTCTTCTTCACTCCAGCCTGATGGTCTGTCCCAGTGCTGTTCACCAGGACTTCAAACGCTACTGGCTGACTTCACGGCCATAGTGCTTAACTCAGCAGTATGACCTCTTCATCTTAACTACCACACTACACTATGTTTCAAGTTTTAAAATCTCTCTCCTTCAGTCTTCTCCATTATTTGCTGCTGAATGAAGACTATAATAATGGCTGGAAAACATAGTGTAAGTGATAAACCACATCAAAGGAAAGGGAAGATAGGCAAGTTTTTAAGTGATGTCAGACATAACAGAGAATCAGAACCACGCATATGAAAACATCTGAAGTAAGCAGGAGATCCCTTGAGAAATATTAGAAGTTTCCACCAACCTTCTTTCTCCTCAAATTAAAAGTTTCCTTTCAGTATAAAATCCATTGTAAAAAAGAAAAAAACGCACTTCTTCCATGAAATGAAATGTTTTCTATTTTAATAATCTCCTTTGAAATATTATACTTGTGATACAATTTCTACCTTAGATTTTAATTATCTTTAAATGTATTCTATTTTCTCTATTAAATCATAAATTCTTTGAGGGAAGGCTCAATGTCAGATTGATCTTTGTCATATTCACTGTGCACAGTAGGCATTCAAACACTGAATAAAAGAAGGGATGTTTTGTTTAATATTATTGAAAAAACTGAATTACATTTCATAGCAAATACAAAGTAAGATTTTACCAGTCAGGCTGAGATCTTAACCTTGTAACCATTCATTTATCATCTGAACCACTCTAATCATTCATTACTGACCCACCTTTCTACTCCCCTCCTTCCGACAAATATTTATTGAATATTTGGCATCGGAGATAAGGTAATGAATAAGGCATGCACCGTTCCTGGCTTAGTAGAACTTAAAATCTAGTGGATGCTTACACTTGTAACACTGTTTTTTGTAAGGAAAATTAATATGGAATTCCAAGTAATGAATTTATAAGTGCAGTTTTTAAAGCTAGACAAGGCCTTAGTTTATCCTCACAGATAGGAACTCCATGGACTGATGCATATCCACTGACATAATAAAGACAATAATTTCTGACCCTGCCAATATCAGAGGTTATCAAGAAAATTGAGGCAATATAGGTAAAAGCACTTTGAGTCTTAGGAGCAAATGGTAATATTTCAGGAAGTTTCACTGCTCTCACTGGCAGCCATGGTAAACATTGCATTTGTTTACATATGAGATTATAAGATTATAGATTATATAGATTATATATGTATTATAGAATCTTAAAGTTTTGTTTTAAGACTTAGCCCATCATTAAGGTCTGAATGAGTGGGACTGTTGCTGCATTTCAGATAAGTGCTTTTGCAGAATCTTGACATCCTTCTTGGAATTATTTTCTATTTTCCTTTATAAAGTGTCAAATTTAAATAATTAGCACGTGCATGGTTCTTTACAGTTTACAACATGCTTCCACACATGCTTCCACATAAATTAACTTACTTCATCTTATCATAATCCTCATTTTACAGAGGTAAAAACTGAGGCTGAGAAGGGTTAAAGAAAATCCACTGTTACAGAACTGCTACTGGCTGCAGACTGGACCAAAATTGGATGCTTTCTCACTATACTGTGCTGCCTCTCTACAAACAGACTGTGAGGGAAAGTGAAGTCAGTCCCTTCAAAATGGCTTTACAATAAGGACTGTGTGTCTGAAGGCAGAGCATGTAACAAGGAAATACTAGTCTTAATAGTAGCCCTAACCCAATTCTCTGGACAGATGCATCCATCCATCTGTCCAGCTAAGATGCGATAGAGTAAGAAATATATATTCGGTCTTCGTCTCCAGTTTCTGGCACAGAGCTTCTAAAACTCTTGTAAATTCCTGAGTGATAGGGGTGATAGGAGTTTCTTTTAGTATAATATTTGATTTTTGTCCCCAGTTCCTGGTACAGAAGAGTTCAGAGAGCTCCTGGATTGGTGAATGCATCCACATGTAGGGAGAATAGTGCACCCCAAACTCCATGGGGACAGAAGCTCCTGCACTTGGGACCCTTCTAGACCTCATCCTATGTTCCTCTGCATCTGGCTGTTCATTTGTACCCTTTATAATATCCTTTACAATAAACCAGTAATAGTAAGTAAAGTGTTTCCCTGGGTTCTGTGAGCCATTATAACAAATTATTGAATCTGAGGAAGGGGTTGTGGGAACCCCTGAGTTGTAACCAAGTCAGACAGAAGTGTGGGTAAACTGGGAACCCACTACTTGCAGTTGGTGCCTGAAGTGGGGGGCAGTCCTGTGGGACTGAGCCCTTAACCTGTGGGGTCTGCACTAAGCCTGGGTAGTTAGCATCAAAATGAACTAAATTGTAGGACATCCAGTTGGTATCTACAGAGAACTAGAGAATTGCTTGGTGTGGAAAACCCACAAATTTGGTGTCAGAAGTGTTGTGAGTACAGAAACAGTCTTCCTTTACCAATCACCCATTCAAAACATGTTTTTCAGTGGCTTCCATGGCAAGGGACTATTTTGAGCATTGGAGTGACAGTAGTGACCAAAACAGATAAAGTCCCTGCTATCCTGTGATGCTTACATTGTAGTTGGGGAAGACAAATAATAAACAAATTAACAAATGATTAAGATGTCATGTGATAATAAATGCCAACAGGAATAATCAAGCCTGGTAGGTGGCGGGAGAGTCATGGAGTATATTATTTCAAGTGAAGTAGTTAGGAAAGGGCTCTTTCTTAAAACGACATTTGACCAGAGACCTGATGAAAGTAAAGGAGAAAGCCACATGGATGGATATCTTGGGGGGAAAATCCAGGCTGAACCAATGCAAAGTGTAAGGACTCTGAGGACGGTCCTTGGTGCTGCTGGACCATCCCACTACATTTGCCCATTCCATTCACTCTCCCACCTAACTATTTCCTATCTTCTCTCTTATCAAATCTTCAACGTCTCCTTGCCTTTCTTGTCTGCCTCCCCAACTTTACTTGCCTTTTCACTGAGAAAATATAAACTTCAGAAGAGAACTTACACAAGCTCTTATAGTTACATCAACTAATTTACTTGCATCTCTGCCCATATACCATGGCTTCTCTCCCATTACTACGGATGAACTATCTGTGCTTAGGAGACCACACTCCTCCTTTATGCACTAGAGCTCACCCCCTTTCTCCTACTCAAGGACATGGGTCCATGAATTCTCCTTTCTTTTTTCTGTATCAATTTATCCCTCTCTTACTGGATTAATCTATCAATACAAACATGCTAATTATCATTTTTTTTTCTTATTTATTTTTTTCCCCCGAAGCCCAAGTAGATAGTTGTATGTCATAGCTGCACATCCTTCTAGTTGCTGTATGTGGGACACGGCCTCAGCATGGCCAGAGAAGCGGTGCGGCCGGAGAAGCTGGGATCCGAACCCAGGCCACCAGCAGCGAAGCGTGTGCACTTAACCGCTAAGCCACGGGGCCGGCCCCCAAATATGCTAATTATTTTCCCAACTTAAAAATAGAATCCTCTCTTGATCCTACATTAACTTTGTTGCTGGTCCATTTTCTGCACCCTTTATAGAAAAATTCCTCCAAAGAATTAATGATTACTACTGTCTTTAAGTCTTCCTTCATGCATTCTTGAACTGACTTCAATTAGGCTTGCACTTCCACAACTCTGCTGAAATACCTGTAGTTAGGGTCCCCGGTGACCTCCATCTTGTTAAAATCAACAGTCAATGCTCAGACTGCATTTTATCTGAACTATTACCAGCATTTGAAGTAGTTGACTACTCTCCCTTTTTTGAAACACATTCCCTGCTGGGCTTCTAGGACACTAAAATCTCTTGGTGTTCCTCCTAAGTAATCTGGATATCCTTGATCTTCTTTGCTGACCTCTTAATGTTAGAATGCTCCAGAACTCAGTCCACTGATACCTTTCCTTCTGTATTCTCTCTTGGTGATCTCATCCAGTCTAACTTAAAATCCATTTCTATGCTGACCTCTCTCAAATGTGTATCTCTACTCCAGACCTCTCCCCTGAATTCCAGATTCATATAGTCAGCTGCTTACTTGACTTCTCCACTTGCATGTCTCAAAGGCATCTTAATCCAAATACATCCAAAGCTGAACTCATTACGAGTTCCTTCAACCTGCTTAACCCTATCTTAGTAAATGGTAACTCCATCCTTCCCACTGCACAGGCTTGGAGTCATCCTTGACTTTTTTTCTCCTTTTTTTTTTGTGAGGAACACCCGCCCTGAGCCAACATCCAATGCCAATCCTCCTCTTTTTTACTGAGGAAGACTGGCCCTGGGCTAACATCCATGCCCATCTTCCTCTACTTTATATGGGACGCCGCCACAGCACGACTTAACAGGCAGTGTGTCGGTGCGCGCCTGGGATCTGAACCAGCGAACCCCGGGCCACCACAGCAGATATCCTTGATCTTCTTTGCCACTTCTAACCACTTGCGCCACGGGGCCAGCCCCCTTGACTTTTCTTTTCCCTCATAACCTTCATTCAGTCTCTCAGTTCTTTCAAGTTCTACTTCCAACTACTCCCCACCAGATTTACTCAACCATCCTGGTCCAAGCTAACAGCATTTCTTGCCATAATATTGCACTTGCTTTCTGACAGGTCTTCCTGTCTCCACCATGATCCCCTTACAATCCATTCTCAACCCAGCATCCAGAATCATCCTTTTCAAAGGTATGTCAAAACATGCCATTTCCTTGATCAAAAGTCTTTTAACGGTTTTCTGCCTCTCTCAAATTAAAATTCAAAGTCCTTACAAAGGACTTCAAGGTCCTACATCATTTGGCCCCTGCTATAACTTTGACCTCATCTCCATTTATTCTCCTTCTTGCTCACTCCATTCCAGCCACACTGGCCCCCTTGCTGTTCCTTAAGGACCTGAGGCACACTCTCAGGACCTTTGCACTTGCTTCCTTCCACCTGGAACATTCTACTGCCAGAAGGCTCATTCCCTTATCTCCTCTAGGCCTATGCTCGAATATCATTTTCTCAGTGAGTCCAACCTTGATCATCCTATTTAAAATAGCAACCCCCCAACCCACTCTGGCACTTCTTATTCCCCTTCCTTACTTTTTCTCTTTAGCATGTATCACTCATCTCATACATTATATTTTTACTTAGTTGTTGGATATTTCTTTCCACTAGTATGTAACCTGCATGAGAACAAAGATGTATCTGTTTTCCTCATTGCTATATCCTTGGTACCCAGGAAAGTGCCTGCCTACATATAGAAATAACTCAATACATATTATTGAATGAGTGATGAATAAGTTTAAACAACTTCTTTGAGGAATTTTGCTATAAAAGAGAACACAGAGCGCAGGTAGGATAAGGTAAGATTTAATTTTTAAGATATATAATATTACAGAATGCTTATATGCTAATAGAAATGATCAGCAGAGATAGAAAATTTGATAATATAGGCAAAAGAGAGAAATCTGTGTGAATCATATTGTTAAGTAGGTGGTAAGATGGCACAACTGGAGGGACTTGCCTTAGATGGGAGCAAAGACAGTTTATCTACAGAAACAGGAGAGAAGGCAAAGAATATAGATGCAGGTAGGTGGGATCTTGTAAAATTTCTCTGATTGCTTCTAATTTCCTCATCAGCTAACTTCCTTTCTGTATCAGTTGAGATGAAAAAAGAGGCATTGGAAATTTGAGAGGCAAGGAGAAGGTGTGAAATGATTTTCTAGAGGGTGGGAATATGAACAAATTAGGGGAAGGTAGTAGGATTGCCAGGCTCACTTACAGTTAGTTGTCGTGAATTTCAAATGAGACCAGTCAGCATGATAGTGTGTGCTCCAGTCATGTTTAGGTACATATGCAGGAAGGTATAGAGCTGGATTGGGCACTTTACCAGCCAAATAGGAGCAAGGTTGTTGATGATGTACACAATAAAGTAATTATAATGATGGGCTGTGAGATCTAGGCTAGGTAAGATGGGATGTGAGGGTAAGGGGGTGAGGGTAGGGTGTGTTAGATAGAGGCATTGTTAGGGTGATAAGGTAAATAATTGGTCGCTCTAGCAAGTTTGAAGAATTTTTAATTTGGGGAATAAGTCACAAAGATAGGAGTTGCTGGTAAGAGAAGACATTTGAAAATAGGATTATGGAAGGATGCAGTTATTGGCAGTAATAAAGATAGGGTCTGACTATAGGGGTGGTTGGCTGAGATGAAGTGGAAGGCAATCCTATTGGAGAAGAGGTCAAGAATTTAGAGGCCAGGGTATTGGGAGGATCAACAATGTGAATATTGAAAACATCAAGAATTAATCCAAGTGTACTGTTAAAAAGACGACAATGGGAAGATGCTACCATTTTTTTGGACTCATAGAGAGTGACCTGGGGTTCTACTGATAATTAGAACAAGGAGCAGCAGCAGGCAGTATAGGCAGATTGGCATAACCTTCAAAGGAATTAGGGAATTTTATCGAGAAGTCATGCAGAATGATCTGGAACTGGTAATGAGGTACAAGAAAGACACCTTACCCATTTTCAGTGCTCAGTGATATGAAAGACGACTATCAGAGGATAGGTTTCAGTTGAAGGAAGACTGTGAAAGGAACATTCTGAGAAGAGGTTAAGAATATAGGGAACTGAGATTCCATCAGCAAAAATGGCCTGTACCAGCTACTACACCTGAATATCCAGAAATTTCCATTTTCAAGATACGATTTAAAAAAGACAATTCAATTTTCAGGGGTTGTATTAGTTTCTTTGGCTTCTGTAACAAAATACCACAAACTGGGTGGCTTAAACAACAGAAATTGTTTCACAGTTCTGGAAGCTTTAAGTCTGAAATCAAGCAAGGCCATGCTCCTGCTGAAATCTGTAGGGGAGAATCCTTCCTCTTCTCTTCTAGCTTCTGATGTCTGCCAGCGATCCCTGGCATTCCTTGGCTTGTAGATGCATCACTCTAATCTCGGCCTCCACCAGGACATGGCGTTCTCCCTGTGTGTCTCTGACTCCTCTTCTTGTAAGGACACCAGTCATCCTGGATTAAGTGCCCACCCTACATCAGTATGACTTCATCTTAACTAATTACATTTGCAATGGCCCTATTATCAAATAAAGTCACATTCTGATGTCCTGGGGGTCAGAACTTCAACATATCTTTTGGGGAGACACAATTCAACCCATAACAGGGGTACTGATAAAAAATACTACATCTTTTATGGAATGTGTTCATATTTTAAGTTCTTCAGGTTTTGTCCTGCTCAGTAAATGAAGCCTGGTAACTCAAGTGTTTAAGCAATTCCCATTGTTTGTAAAATGCACGACAACCTAAACAGACAAAAAGTGTTACATACTGTGCATGTGATGTAAGGTCATATAACACAGAAGTATCTATTGATGTTGTGTGATGATTCCATTGAACCTATTGGGACAGCCCAGTTAGCTCAGCAGGGAAGCATTACACTTTGAAGTTGAAGGTCTTGGCATCTCTTTCACTATTTAAAATGTTGAACCAACTAAAGCTCACAATCCTATGGGTCTAAGAGTGGGGGACAGCTTGCAATAGCATGATGTCATATTAATCAGCTGAGAACATTTCTTGCTATGGCATGGAGACGGGAAGGAGAGGGAGAAAAGTACTCATCTGATTCTTTAGTCATGAGCCGAAACAGGGTCCCAGAGACTCCAGACTCTGAGATATTCAAAATTGCTACCCTAGGTCTCAGCCCCTTAGTTGTGGTTGTGACTTCTCTCCTGTTCTTCTTAAAAGAGTTACATGAGTAAGAGATGCCACTCTTTTGCAGTGGAGAAAACCTAGGCTACAGAGCCATTTATTGCACACTTACTAGATGCTCAGCTCTATACTAGTCCTCTGACCCACTGCAAGTGGGGACCTCAGACTGGGCTGCATCCTGTGCCTGTTGAGGACTGCTCTTGGCAAACTGTGATCCAAGGTCTTGGAAAAAACACTGAGGGATGATCCCAGTTCCTCCCATCTAGGGAGCAGGTAGGTAAATACCAAGTCTTTTTTTCCAAACAAATACAAATCAATATTCACCTCAGTTTCAATTTGACTCACTGCAAATTCTGAATTGATGGACTCCACATTAACGAGGTTTGTTATGCTGAGGGAAGTGATCTGATTATTTGACTCTTCTTACCTTGTCAGAATGGAGCTAGCATTTCAGAAGGGATGGTAAGGCAGAGGTTTATTACTTGAAAGTAATGTCTTTCATGAAAGATGCAGAATACAACTGTTTAGTAGTATCTCTCTCTCACTCTCCACTTCCTACACAGCTTGTAAGAAATGAAGTCCCTCACTCTATTACTCTAATTGAATTCCAACTTGGGTAATTACATTATAATTAAATAAATTTTCCCCATAGTTTTAACTCACTGACAAATAGTGCTAGTCAAACACCAACATGTCACTCCCAGAAACGCATCCCCACTCCATTTCAGTGATGAGTGGAGTGATTTATATTTGGGAGATGTGTGTATGAAAAATGCATAGTTCATAAAATATTTTAGGTATCATTCATGATTACATATGCTTTTCTCAGCATGAGATAACATTAATTTCTATTATAATCTTTCATCTAATTTCTCATATGCTTAGTGCCAAAAGAAATAAGACAGTTAATTAGCATTTCTTATTTTCAGAATGATTTTGCTTAGTTAACCAGTAGCTTGCAGTTTTTATTTCTAAAGCACATTTCATTATCCCTGGGAGACAGACTGGCATAGGTGTTATTGTTTCCCATTCTACAGGCAAAAAAATCGAGGCAGAATTTCCCCAAGTGAGGAAGCCAGTTACTATCAGTTCTAGCCTTGGAACCTAAGCTTCCTCTGGTCCCCTGGTCCAAAGCTCTTTCTATCAAACACGGTCATTAGCAATCACTTTAGTTTTACTAATGAGAAAATAAACAGCAGCACATTTGTGACCAATGTCACAGGTCATTAATTTATAACAATTAATGATTAACCAGGAGTCAGAGGTCTAATAACTGAGTCCTGATACTGTCCTTGGATCATGAGACCACAGAGATTCTTTGTGTCTATATGTTATTACTTGGTGTAGCTCAACTAGAAGAACAGTTCAAAATGTGATGCAAACTGGTGCAAAAGGATTCAAATTTCAATTTTATTTTAATGACCTTTCTTAAAGTGTTGTAGATGGCTTTTAATAAAAAATATTAAAGACAACATCAAAATACTCACAAAAACCAGCAGTAGCAGGGGTGTTATAATGATGCCCTGAAAGAAATAAAAGAGATGATGATCATTTATCAGCTTGAAAAGCAAGACACTTTCTTTGCCATTTTAAACTCTGATGCGTGGAAATGCGTATCTTTCTCACTTCCATTTAATAAAGTCTAGAAGATAAACAAGACGGAGCTCCAATCTTGGCCCTACCATAATGCCTTAGCATCTTTATTACAATTATTTGTATTTAGCATCATTAAAAGTACAACCACCAATCCTCCTTAAACTTGTCTTCCCTTTTTTGTTTTTTTTTGGTGAGGAAGATCAGCCCTGTGCCAACATCTGCCAATCCTCCCCTTTTTTTGCTGAGAAAGACTGGCCCTGGGCTAACATCCGTGCCCATCTTCCTCCACTTTATATGGGACGCCGCCACAGCATGGCTTGCCAAGCGGTGCGTTGGTGCGCGCCTGGGATCTGAACCGGAGCACGCGCACCTAACCGCTTGCGCCACCAGGCCGGCCCCTTGTCTTCCCTTTTTAAAACTTAAGTTACCTTCTCCATCGCATATATATCAGTTGGGTGGAAGCTGACAAGCTTTCTCACTCCAAGGCTTTCAACTCTAACTTGGATAAAGTGCCCCTTTTCAAGAGAAGACAGGTGGTTTAGTCCCAGTTGGAGTCTTCTCCTGAGCAAAGACCACGTCAGTTGTGATGAATGAGATGTCATGATTTTGTAATGTGAACTGATCTCCCCTAGGAAATGAGCTGGGATCTCAAAACTCATTTCACTTGATTAGACTCCATGTCTCCATGGTGGAAAGCAAGTCTTTCATCTAATTCAGCCACATAGGACCACCTCGGTCCCTCTGCCTCCCCTAGGCAGAAAGGAGCAAAAGATTTGTTTTCTGCAATGACAGGGAACAGTTTGAGGCTGTTGTCAATGAGGCAGGATACAAGCTTTTAGGTTTCTTGAAGGTAAATCTTTAAAACAAGGTGTTTGAGTTGGGAGTTAACATGACAGGTTTCAGTTTTAGAGAAGCAGATGATTATTCGTCCCTCTTAGTTCTTTCTTTAGCTCTCAACACTACATTATGATTTATACAAGACAATGCATTTCATATTTTCATTAATGAATTCTACTTGGAACTTTAAAATTCCAAAGAGTTTATGTCTGGGGGTGTGTGTGTGTGTGTGTGTGTGTGTGTGTGTTTGTTGTATGAAAAGAGAGAGAAACAGACAGACAGACAGAGACTGAGCCCAGGATCTAGGTCTGGGACCACTGCATTACTTTTGGAAAAAAGTCCTTTTGATATTTATATGCAGTCCTTTTGTGATTACAGTAACTAAATTCTCTTGGATGTGGCCCAAGAGAGAGTGGCTTACCTTATATGACACTGCTAATATGACTTTCTTAGGCATATATGCACGTGGATATTCACATACAGGCTTGTTTTATTGTTAAATAATAGAATAAATGCTTCTTTATTGTGCAAACATTTGCAATTGGCAGTAGAGAGTACAACATTTTAATTTAAGTGTTTTATTTTTTAATCTATTTATTAAAACATGTATTGTGGCTTATCAACTCCATTGGTGTCTAAGAAACAGGTTTCATCAGCACATTTAGAAGAATCAAATGTGCAAGCTGCCAAAATAGTTTTTAGAAGCTACTGCCTGTCAATGACATGGAAAATAGTCAGACTTTAGGAAGAATTTTAAACTATACTAGGCTATGTGGAAATGAAAATATCTGCTGTTTCAGTCTATGTGGGAGCTAACCGATTTCAAGTCAATTTGTTTAAACATTTATTGAACGTCCACCTATAGGCCAGGCACTGTTCCATTAAATAGAAGAGTTAATGGAAACTGATCTGGCAGAAAGGGGATAAGGATATTCCAGGAACAGGGAAGGGCATTCACAAGGCTATAAAAAGTTGAGCAGGGTGGGAAGAAAAGCATGAAGTGGAGAAGTCAGAGACCAGATCACCAAAGGCCTTGTAGGCCAGGAGAGGGGGCTTGGACTTGATCCTACTAACAATAGCAAACTATTGAAGAACTTAAAGTGAAGGTATAGTAAGTTGGTAAATAATTTAGTATATGAACAATGGATTTGACTTAGCTTATAACCTAATGAGTTTTACCTTTGTTATCTATCAATTTACCTAAATTCAGATAAAAGAAAATAGAAACATATTAATTATGAAATATCAATAGCACTAATCACACTTCTGAGAAACAAGGTATGATATCCACCATAGGAAAAGAATTTTCACCAGGAAGAAGGTTGAGCATTGTCACCACTCTGGGGACATTTGTCCTGTATTAGAGGAGTCGAAGCCACCCGGGTGTCACATAACACATGGGGACCCATATTCTTCCTGGTGCCCATTAATTTTCCTTTGCAATAGTGGAATAGTAATAGTATTAGTAGTAATACCAGTACTATTAATGGTATTTGCTTCAGCACTTTCAAGCACATTTTAAAATTTGACCCTCCCGTATTGAAGGAGTTAGGTTACATAATAGCCCCATTTTATAGATGAGGAAACTGGGTTCAAAAAAGCCAAGCAAGCAGCCCAAAGTCACACAGTGAATAAATGCCCAAGCTTGGACTTGAGCCTGCTCTGTCCAATTCCGAATCCAAAACTGACTCCGTGACACCACTGGTCCCTGGGTAGCAGATTTGAGCAACCAGTGCAGTTTTCTACAGAGTTATGCTTAGGATATACATGTAGTAATTATTTGCTGCATGATCTTGGTCTCGAGTTGATAACCAGTTCTCAGAGATGACCTTATTCTGGAAGGCAGAGCACTATTATCTGTAGGTTTTCCTGCCTGAATATTTCAAGCATATAGTCACCAACATATAATAGTTTCTTTGCAGTTCTTCCAAGAACTTACAATATTTGTTCCTAAAATAATGAAAATTTCCTAGCGAATGGTATGTATTTTCTAATTCTGGATCGAAGATTTCTCATTATTTTCTCAAAATGGCTGTTCTAGTTCATTAACTAAGAATGAATTGTTATATAACGCTGAAACCTGCTTTTCAGTTGTATTAGGAAACAAGTCAGCTACGATGCCATTAATACTGACAAGAGCACCATAAAGTTTTGGGGAAGTAGTTATAATTATTACTAAAATAATAATAGCTAATATTTATGGAGTGCTTATCTTACGTCAGATGATGTGTGAAGGACTTTACGTACGTTAGCATACGTAATCCTCACAACAACACTATGAGGTGGTTACTATTATTATCCCCACCCCTTAGGGAAGGAAACTGAGTCTCAGAGACATGCAGTGAAGTACGAAGAGGCAATGCCAAGAATTCAATCTTTATCTCCCTGACTCCAGAGCCTGTGATCCTGAATGGTGTAAATAAAATCTTTGCAATCTCATCCTCTTTCCTCACGGTTATATTCTAAGAGTAAACCAGAGAGGAGCTTCAAACTCAGTATGTCTTTTTGATGACAGGAAACAAATTGAGAAATAAGCCTTTATGTAACGTGGCTGATACATTTTTTTAAAGTCAGGTTTTTTGCAAATATCAATGGTAAAAAGGGTGAACTAAAAATTTAAACTGTAATAGCAACAATTATTGGAAGCTGAAAAGTCAAATAAACATATTATTTCCTCTTGGGTATTTAGAAGGCTCAATTTGATGACCTCCATCTACTTTCTCTTTCCCAAGGAAATTCTATACAAAGAGATAAAACCAAAGAGGTGGTGGATAAGCACTTCCTGCAAGAGATGTTAGCCCCCTCTTTGCAGATTCAAGGCTGAGACACAGTTTTAGCATCCTTGCAAACTGGGATGGTGTGTTAAGCTTTCCAATTGCAACACCTGAAGAAGTCAAGTCACAAAGTGACTGGCTTTGACTGTCTCTTAAAAAACCTTCAGAAAATCCATTTACACCTCTGATGTGAATGACTGGGTGAGTATATTTCAATGACTTTGGTGAAAAGGAAAAAAAAAAGTGTCAATTCTGAGACACTGAGATTTAGTTGCATTAAAATACAAACCAAAAAACCCCCAAATAACAACAAAAACAACAACAAAATTGTAAATGCACTTCTCTCAGCAGTAGGACTTGTAAAACAGGCAAAACTGAAGTGAATTATCATTATTTTAAAAATAGAAAATGTTATTGAAAGGTTTTGCCGCAAACAACTATTGTGATCACAGAGATACTAAAACTGACTTCTTAGGCTCTGTCTCCAGAATATTGAATGTTAAACCTTGGAAAAGGTGCTTTTTATTTTTTAATTAAAAGGCAATAACTCAATTTTTACAGAATAACAGCATCTCAGTTTTGCAAGGGATCTTAGACCCACCCTTGCCCAGGCCTCATCTGACCCTGGACTATGTCTATCTCCCTCTGTTTATCTCCCTTCTGTGCTCACCAGTGATGTGAGGCTGTGATGGCTGCACCTCTGCCAGAGAACCCACAGAGAGACAAAGCTCTTGCTCTCAAGGCACACAGTGCCCTGGCTGAAGCTCTTTCACAAGGAGGAAGCTCTTTCTTATACTGATTCCAAACCACTTCTGTTGCTGCCCTGTCTTCCCCTTGGAGCAACTTAGGGCATGTCCCACCCCTCCTTCCTTGTGATGGCCTTTTAACTGCTGCCCGTGAATGATGTACATAAAATCTCTGCACTCTTAGACTCTTTCCTCAGGACTATATTTTAAGAGCAATGCTGAAGTGAGCATTTGGGTCCCACACTAAGTCTTCTCCAGGTTGAGTCCTCGGGACCTCCCACTGTTCCTCCTGGGAAAGGGCTCTGAGCCTTCCCTTAGACATAATCCCATCCAGATGAATTTAAGAGTCCACAGCACTCACTTAATAAAAATTGACCAAATCTTGGAAATGAGGCCAAAAGAGGACTGCACGTCCTTTCAATGTCATCCTGGAGCATTGTCTAACAGGCCAAACCAAGGATTATTTAATTACTCAGAGGGATATATCTTTGTTTGATTTCTATTTACTATTGATTAGGGCCTGGACAGTGAAATTACATGTTAATTTACAAAGTGTTGTCCAGTAGAGATAGAAATCATTTCTGTCTAGCAGAAAAAAACAACCATAAACATTACAGTTTTATTACCCTGTAGGTATTTGCCAGTTTTCTCTCTAACTTAGCAAACTTATCTTGGTGTGCTTTTCTGATAGACTATATAACCCCCATTTCTATAATCTCAAAACCAACTTTACCGTCCTGCTGGTTCCCTCACCATTCAGCTAAATAAATGTTTGACATGTGTTCATTCTACATTTGTAAGAAAGTTGTGTTTTCAACTTTTGAAAATTATATTTTGGAAACTCCTTTGTTCTGAACTTTGTATTTACATTAATGCAAAGATCATATTTTTTTTTTAAAAGAAGATTAATGCCAACTAAAACTTCTAGGTTGTCTTCACATTTTGTCCCGTGGCCAGTATATAGTGATATCTTAACAGTTAGAGAAAAGTTTGCTCTTCAAGAACGAAATTATGTAAAACCAATATGTAATAAGTGAGATTTGCCAACACATCCTAATGAATAAATTATAAAGGGGAGGGCGTATGGGGAATTTTGGAGATACCTAAATTTAAACAAAATGGTCAGGGTATACGGTCTCCAGAGAATATGACCTTATAAACATGGATGTCAAAATATATTGTTGAGTAAACTCTACGGAAGAAAGAAAGAGGCATTAGGAGCCAAGGGGAGGGCAGTTGGAAAGAAAGTGGTGGTTAGTTGGTGGGTGAGGGCCTCTTTCCCCTCCTCTGTCTATACTTTTCTCTTTAAAACTGGACATTCACAGAGTAAGTGTCTTAACATCCCCAAATCAAGGATTTCTCAGTACTTTCATAGCTCTGTCAGGGGAAGAGGGTGTCCTAGCAGATGCCATGAGCATTCTGGTTTGTTTACCAGGCACAGTGCACTATGGTAAAGACAGCTGCATCTGACTATTTAAGCTAGATAACACCAGCCACTGAAAACATCCAGTTAATTCTCCCTGGTCTGAGTCCACACTTGCCAGGACAACACTGAATAATAATTTTGTTTTCCAAATAGCATTTCCGATAGGAAGAGAACACACTGATGAGCTGACACCAGTCTTCTAGAACACAACCACATTGGGGTGTGCTAATGACAGTGAGTTTCTGAACCTGCAAAGCTCAGGGTCTATTCCTGGATTGTGGTGACCCCAAAAAAGCAGTGTCACCCTGCGAGGCCTTGCAGGAATGACAGCTGGCTTGTCTCAATGACATACATTTAATTAAACAAACATTTATTGAGCGCTAACTCTGTATCAGACATCCTGGGTGCTGAGGGTAAACGGATTCCAAAGTCTCCTAAGTACATAAAACTTCAGTCATTTTGAAGCGGACTTTTACATAAAATTCCAGAAAATAGTTTCCATGAAGTCCTTGAGGTTGTCTTTGAAGACTGTCTTAGAAGATTGTTGTTCTTTCTTACCTATTTTCCTTCTCCTACAACCACTGTTGAGCACTCACTAAGGCACTTAGAGTAATTTTTGCTTTTTTAAGCCAAGTCTCTGATATGATATGCATATATTTGATATTTAATTTATGCTATGGTCCATGCCCATAAGGAGTTCCCATTATAGAAACCAGTTCTACCTTGTCCTTCTGTAACTTCAATGCTTCTGTTAAGAAATACCTCTACTATCTTATTCCCAAAAGATTGTGACTTTTTTCCAGACCAAAATTAAGGGTCTTATATATGTTCATATTAAGTATTATCTTACTAGATTTGACCTATTATCTTTTTAGATTTTGATCTGTCACTAATAAATTCAACAAATACCTACTGAGTAACTACTGCACCAGGCCCTGTTAGATGAAGAATAATGGTGAATGAAACACACACAACTGATATCCTCAGTTTTTTAGAGAACTCAGACAAGCAATCACAATAAACTGATGAGTGTTCAAAATTAAAATCTCAGGGTGCTATAAGAGTGCTTAATAGGAAGGTGAGGGCAATTAAGATGAAAACTGAAAGCAGAGTAGGAGTTAGCCAGGCAAAGGAAGGGCAGGCCAGAAGGGGAGGGAGAGAAAACATAGGCAGGGAGAAGACACAGTACAAAGGCTTTGGAGGCAACAAGAACATACAGGAACTGAAAGTGAAGAATACAGTGTGAGGGGTACAGTTGTGGGAGATGAAGCTAGAAACAAGATGAAGCAGGAAGGCCCAGTAATTCATGGTGAGGAGTTTGGGCTTCATTGCAAAGCAAGGGGAAGCCACTGAAAGAATTTATGCAGGCATGGCTGTGGGGAAGAGCCGGTGGCAAGGGCTTGATGATATCTGTGTTTAGGTAAAAATCACTCTGGGTGTAGTTTAGAGAAGAGATTAAAGTAGTGGAATATTAAAGGAGGGGAGACTAATTAGGAGGTTGTTCAGTAATCCAGGCAGGAGTTGCTTTGGGGTAAAATTATGGAACCTTAATTATCAAGAAAGAGAGACATAACATATTCAAGAAGTATTTGAAATGTAGACTGGTAGATTAAATATAGGGGGAGGGGTGTGATAAAAAGGGAGGAGGGATAGTTTCTTAGTCTTCTGAATTAAGTGATTTTTGACCAAATAGGTGGATTATAGAGCCAATTACTGAGCCAGGGCCGAATTGGTATGTATGGATTAATTTTTCTTGATGAAGATGATGAGTCTGAGGTGTCTACAAGGCCTCCAACACTGTAAGCAGTTGGATATATGGGACTGAAGCTCAGAATAGTGTGGACATGGCTATAGATGAGTGAGTCCTCAGTATATAGTTGGTGGTTTACTGTTACAGAGAAGATAGGAAGTTAAGGCATATAGACTATATATTGCAGCTCAGAGGAAGCCTAGAAAAAAACAATTTCAATGGAATGACTAGTGTAGAAGTTAAACTGGAGTAGATTGAGGGCTGAGAAGAAAGAGAGGAAAGAGAGACAGAGTTTGGCCAACTCTTTCAAGAAATCTGGCTGTAGAGAGGAAGAGAAAAATAGAGCTGTAACTTGAGGGGAATGAATATGAAGTAAAGGAAGTTTGTTGTTTTCTGTTTTGTTGTTTGTTTGCTTTGTTTTAGAAAGGAGAAACTTGAGGATTTCCAAAATTCATATAAAAGAGCCAAAAGGGGGCAGGGGAATGAAGATTTCCTTATTATACCTAAGGAGGCAGCAGAGAAGGAGTTCCAGTGCACAGCTGGAGGGTCTAACTTTAGAAAGGAGGTGGGGCTGACACTTCTTCATGGTGAAAGGAGAGAAAAGGATAGATTAGGTACAGATGAAGATAGACTTGTATGCTTGATATTAGAAAGTTGAAGAGACTTTCATTTAAGAGCTTGTATTTTCTATATTAAGTAGAAGGTGAAGAGTTTTACTAAAATGAGGGGAAGAAAGGTTCAGAAAATGGGAAAAGTCAGTGATTGGAAACCTGTGTTGTGACTAATGAGAGACAGTGTCCAAAACTGTGAAGGGGCTGAGATTTTACCATACTTTGAAGATAACAAGTTAGCCTGCCACAGTTTCATGAATGCTGGAAAAAGACAAGACTTCTGGATCAGAGCCCAAGGACTGTATCACTCACAGCACAGTAAGCAGCCTAAGCATGATGTTTGCATCAGCTCCCCTTGCCCCTAAGTAAGCAGGGTGGTGCAAACAGGCTCAGATGCATGCCTACCTATTGTTAAGGTGGATTTGAGAGAACCTATCCTCCTGCCTTCTCGTTTTGGCAAATTTGAATAAAACTTTCTCCATCTCCAAGCACAAGTGTCTCAGTGATTGGCTTATTGCAGATGGGGCACATGAACTCCAGATTGAGAGGTCTGGTATCACTATCAAGCTCATTACTGCTCCCCTCAAATATCAGCATTTAGCCAATGTCCTCATACAAGGAATGATAATTAGATAATCATTAAAAAATGACCAGAAAAACTTCTCTTCAAGATGACATTGATCTTCTAACACTCCTTGGACACTGTGATTCAAATAAATAGGAGTCTAACCAACTGAACTGATTTCCAACTCATAATTCACTCTATTTCTTTTTTTAAATGGGGGAATTTGCTAAATGTCTTTGAAATCTAGATCCTCGCTAGGTTGAACTGTGGTCTGTGGATCAGCAGCATTGGCCTCACCTGGCAGCTTGTCAGGAATTGCTGAATCTCTGACCCCACTGCAGACCTATTATACTATCATCTGCACTTTTAACAAGATTTCCAGGTAATTTGTAGATACATTAAAATTCAAAAGGAACTGATTTAGATGCTAGAGGAGCGGTAGGCAAACCTTTTCCGTATAGGGCCAGATAATTATTGCAGGCTTCGCTGGCCATACAGACTGTTACAATTACTCAACTCTGGTGTTGTAGCTGGAAAGCAGCCACAGACAATAAGCAAACAAATGCCAAAGACAATAAGTAAACAAATGGGCGTGGTCAAATTTGGCCCAAGGGCTGTAGTTCTGACCCCTGCTCTAAAGTATTGTTTTGGATTAGCAATTATATTAAAAAAAGAAATAAGTTAGTGTAACAAACTTTTATTTTTAATGACCCAGTTTTTAGTGAATCCATGCTGGCTTCTAAACATCACAGCATGTTCCTTTTTAGCTGCTTAAAACACACTACTTAATTACCCATTCTTCAATTTTTCTCTAGACTGAAAACAAAATTACCAGTTAATAGTGTGTAAAATCTACTTTCTTCCCCTTTTTGATATTTGCAGTGACATTTGCACATGCCCAGCTGCTGATTCTACTCCTTTTCTCTATGATTTGTCAAAGATAGCAATTCAGCAATCTCAAATGTTAGTTTTCTCAGGACCCTATGAAGTAATTTGTCTGGACCAGCAGATAGTCTGCTTATCTTGGGCCTATTTTCCTTTTGCCAATATTTACTTTACCATTTCTAATCTGCAGATGGTTCTCTTTGCCAAAGATGATGGAAGCAAAGGGAAGGGTCATTGGGGTGGGGGAATTAAGGATGCTGAACAGCAGGCAGAAAGTGTGGAGTTTAGGCTCCTAATATCCAGCACTGTATAAGAGAAAAATGAAGAACACCAAAGAGGAATAACATGTACATTGCTAATTAGAACTCATACAGTAATATATGTTAAAGCCGAAGAACAGTCTTCAAACTCTTGATTTTTCTTTTTACTTTTTAACTGACAAAGTGAATCTTCTTTTCAGACTATATAAATTCATAGACTTGTTTAAAACTATTAACTTGGCTTTTTCTATCTAGATTAAGAGTGATAAGAACAATCTGAAATTTGAATAAAGCCCAAAGTGAGATGGATGTGGGAATTTTCTGTATTTCCCAAGAATCTTTCATGTAAATGTCTTCTAAGTTTATAGATTTAACATGCAATAAATAATTTTCCAAAAGAGCTTCTTAGAAATGCTTACCTGTAGATCATATATTAGACCAAAAATGCGGCAAAAGGAAATTAAGTCAAAATTTCTTTTTTGATGAAATAAGCTTTCATAGCTGAGGAAAGATTTGCCAGGGTTCATTTTGGCCTGCAGGCTGCCACCATGGGCACACAGTGCAATCTGATGTGTTGCAGTTTTATTTTCCTTGGGAATACATGTGGCAGCCTATTAAGGATCATTAGCAGCACAACAAACATTATACACAAGAAGTACAACTCTCTTAAAATGTCAAGAGGATAGTCCCACATTACCCAATGGTCAGCCCAAGTTCCTATGGCCTGAATCTTATATATCAGAGCTTGTAGTATTTCTTGCTTTAGAATCACTGCTTCAGTGATACCAAATACCACCAACATAACAACAGCCAACATTTATTAAGGTATATCACATACTAGGAACTGTGCTAACTGCTTTACAAACATTATCTAATTTAAAATTCCAATAAGTAAATTGATTATCCTAATTTTAAAGGTGAGAAAAGAGAGGCTTATAGAGACTATGGCTAAGCTGTAGGAAGTACCAGGAGGTAGAACTCAGCCAAAGGAATAAAAACAAAAGTTGAGAGGTCAAGAGATGGTCCAAAGGGAAGAAAAGCTGTTAGAAAGAAAAAGAAAAGCACAAATGAGGAAGTTGGAAACTTAAAAAGATATTCAGGAAATGAATTGTAGGAAACCAATACAAAATATGTAATAAAAATCAAAAATAGGGTCAAAGATTACACATACAATCTGCCAGTGGTATAGGAATATATGAAAAGAATGCACCAAGTAACTCTCTCAGGCCACTGGAGTAACACTGAATATTTATTACCCACTGGCTTAAAAGATTTAATGTCTGTCTGCCATTTTGTTCACTGACACCTAAAACAGAACAGTACCTGGCACATATTAGGCATTCAATACATTTTTTTGCTGAATGAAGGAATGAATGAATGAATAAATGAATGTGTGTCCACAAATGCCTCTCTCAGGGAGGAGCATATCCATTTGACGAGAAACACACTTTCTGAAATGCTTTAAAACCCTTATGTTTGTAATAATAAGGAGATTAGTTGACATTTATTGAATGCCTACTCTATGTGTCAGGAACTGTTCTATGCTCTTCATGTGTACTAACTCTTCATACATGCTCTTCATATGCTCAATCCTCACAACAAATCTATGAGAAAGGTGTCATTATGATTCTTATTTTACAGAGGAGAAAACTGAGTTAAACAGAGAGAAGAATTATACAAAATTCCTAGCAATAAGTGGCAGAATGGAAAGCAAGCCATGCATCTGGCTCCAGAATCCACGGCCTCTATCATTATGTGTTTATGTAGTGGTTAAGAGTTCTTTGAGAATTTAGAGATATCAGAGAATTCTAGCTGAAAGGGATATTAGGGATAACTTGCGATCTCGCTTTACAGATTGCAAAGTTGAGGCCCAAGGAGGCAGTGTCTCTCAGAGTTAGTGGAAACACTAGGACTAAGACAGTAAGTGTCTCAAATTCCCTGTCCAGTTCTTTATTTCTGATACCACACTGCCTCCTATAAACCAGTTGAGTAGAGCAAAACTCACATATAGAAGACCTGAAAACTATTACTCAGCACTACATCATTTATCATATGTATAAGACAAAAAAGATGTGAATAATAAAATAGAAGAGACTATAGGAGAGTTTTTTGAAGGAAATCAAATCATGAAACAGGTGCTCCCTTCCCCCAAAAAAGGCTCATGAATTTCCAACAAGGCTATGGGAGAACATTGTTGCAAAATTTTGCAAAAGCAAGGTAGAGATGTGCAAGATGGAGGAGAGGGATAGTATGAGAGTCAGTGAGGATAGAGAAGGGAGGCAATGAAAAGTGATTTGTGGAGATTTGGGGAAGTGGTTTTTAATGCAGACCTGTGGATGTTAAAATAAACTTGCAGAATAATTATAAATTGATTTTCTTTTAAATAAGACATTCAAAATAATGGTTTAATCAAAACTAGTGTTCAAACTTGTAACTGACCTTTACCATAAACAAACAACAAACAAAAAAACCAGACTATGTCTACACATGTGAAATGATTTGGTTTGGCACAGCTCATCCATTCCTTTGGATGTGTCTAAATGACAGATCACAGTGCTGATCTAGCTGTGACGATCAATACTGAGTGTAAAGATGGACAAAATGAATGGAGACAGCTGCGGTCCACTTGCCTTGTCTCATATATCAATAGTCTGATTTACTCTGGTTTTTATAATATTCCTTAGCCAGAGCCATTCCTACAGCTTAGAAAACTGGCCCTGAACTTTGTGACTCAGAGAGGCTTCAGTTGGGAGAAGAGGGTGGATTAACCAATGGTCCTAATAAAAGTCTGCTCCTCATGTGAGCATCATCGGTCCACAAATCCTCCCGCCATTACCAAGGCAGAGGCAGTAGCATTCTGATATTCTGGCTAACTTTTGGGAGTCTCCTTTTCCCACCCAGCCTCCACCATCAATGTCTATTTTAAACAGGTTTCTCCTGAATAACTGTTTATTTTTACGAAATATCAGTGGACAGGAGAAGAAAAACATACAATGTGATATTGGGGTCTGAACAAGATAGATCCTAGACCCTGAAACTCTCTAGGGCAGTGCTCCCAAAGCCTAACAGAGTTCCTGGAGGCAGAAGGAAAAGCTATGATGAGGTAGGTGAGGAAGAACACTGTCTGATCAATTTATAAGAACTGGGAAATAGACTTTGCCATTTTAGGATCACTTTTTTTTTTTTTGGTATAAAAAGTTCAATAATTAATACAACAAGTTAATCACTTCTGCATAATAAAATTTCACCTTATGACCCAGGAAAATGAAAAGGAGCTATCTAAAAACAAATTTTTAGTGCTTAGATTTTTACCCTCCAAATTCCCATGGTGAATTGCTAAAAACAGTCCTGACTCATTTTTGTTGTATAATTATATACAGCTAATTCCCCTTAATGTTTCAGCAAAGACTCATTCCTACACAATTACTTCTGGATCTATGCTATTGAGTATTGTCACTAAGGAGTTTTTAAGAAGGAATAGCCAATGTTTTCACTCAGAAGTTGCTGTAGGTACATTCACATCAGATATTTATTTTTAAAT